AAACCATGCTCTGAGACAAAATCCTTATTTGGAGATATCGACGATTATCAATTTAAATTTATATATCGAGCATATAAGATTAAAAAAACTGCGCGCGAGATTGTGACAAATTATAATATATTAATATACAGTATATCCAAACTTTTATCACAGATAATCCACTAAAAATTTCAATTTTTGTTAAAACCTTTCAAAGCATGGTTTTGCTGTGTATCAACCCATATAATATTTAAAAATTATGCAAAAACCTAGATCTGTATGTAATTACGATGAAAATTTACTTCACGTCGTTATGAACACTGGTCTACAAACTCAGAAAGATTAAATATGAATATGGTAAAAAAGATTCAAGCGTGTATATTAGCTATTATAATACGAATAGTTTATTTATATACTGTGCTGGTGACATTTTATAATAATAATCTTACGAAAAATTCCCTAAATTCCAAGCCTTTACAGTATAGTATATCTATATATTTGCCTAAGTAACATTTTTTTTATTTTTCTAGTATATCACCTTTTTGCTGTCGGAAATCTTTTATCTTAAAATTCACTATCAATCAATCCTATTCTCTTTGTTTCCGTTTGTAAGTCCTTTATTTGTTGACTTTTTTCGGCGAGATCTTGGTTCAACTTTTGTACTTCTGCTTCTAATTGCTCCAATTTTCGATCTTCAAGTATGCAGTAAGGTATTTTGCATTGATTTTTCATCCTTTCTTTTTGGTTTCCATGAGAAACTATTACTTGATCAAGTTGCTTTTCTTTAACAAGAAGCATGCAATAAGTGTTCATAAAATCGGTGTAAATGTCAATATATAACCACCATAACTTTTCATTTTTACTAATATCGATACTATCCAGATTAGTGAATTTGATATTTCTTGAAAACGTGATTTTCATAAGATTAGGAAATTGTGCGAAGCTTAGAGCACCATCCATACTCTCATTTTCGATAAAAACCACGAGTTGCACGCCTGAAAATATAGTATGACGAGCGCCCCGTTCGAAAATTATATGTTTTGTATTGATTTTTTGATCGAGTTTTATATCATCTAATTGGTTCATGGTTTAAGATTTTTATTAAAAATATTACTCTCATAAATCTTAGAGAAGTTAGGAGAGTTCGAAATATTGGAACAAAAAATAAAACTAGACAATTGATGTTACTGTATTTTTATATCTCTGGATACTATGAATTATGGGCGTAGCCCATTCCTTTTCAAAAAAAAATCACTATAGTCAATCAGATAACAAATCAAACGTACAGTCGTCCACAAGTAACGCCATATAATCACATGAACAAGTAAAAGTGTTACTTTTAATGTTGAGTCTCATATCTTTCTATTTACTTTTTCGGTTATCAACGAAACACGAATATCGCTAGTTCAATATGGCGCGCTCTCGCACTCAAATAGCTGACGAAGACAAAAAAAATCTTCGTGCATAATCGCGGCAAAAGTAACACCCGTTTAACTAGATGATTAAATTATCACATATAACAATACTGTATTTTGACTCAATCATGATTGGTAATCTTATAATGGATAAAATTTTAATTTATAGTGAAGTTACAAATGTTAAACAGATTATGGATATAATATTGCAAAAAAATTTTTTTTTGGTTTTTGTTTTTTTACTTTATTAAAATAAATATTTAGAATATAAAAATTTGACATAGGTATTACTTTTGAAAATGAATTAAATTTCGAAGTATAAATTTATTATTCGAAATTATAAATTATATGATATTGATTAATTATATAATTATATTATTTTTTTATTAATAAAAAATAATCTTTAAAAACTAAGTTATAAGCTTTTATATAAAAAATATTTATCAAGATTCAATAAATTATTTATTGCAAAGCCACGAATATATCGCACTTTAATCCTTAAAAAAATAAAAAATAACAATAAATAAATTATTTATTACAAAAATTATGAAAATTTTTATTTTATTTTTAAAATAATTTTCATGAATTTAATTTTTCAAAAATAATCAAATGTTTATGCTTTATAAATATATAGTTTTATATAATAAAAAATATTTATTTTAGAATAAGTTTTAATCTAATGTAATATTTTATTAAAATTTTATAATTATTTTTAAAATAATTATATAATGAAATTGCTATTTGATTTTAGATTTTTATTTTTTAAATATATTTTTTAAAATAAAATAAAATATTAATATTTTTATAATTATATATATATATTATATAATAAAAAAATACTTATTTTAAAGCTTAAATATTGATAAAATATAATTAATAAATTTGATATTATATTTCAATTGTTAATTATATTATATTGAAAGAAATAATGCAAAACAAAAAAATATGTTAAACAATATAATAAATAAGAATAAGTCTCTAAATAAATATTAACTTTTTTTTTTTATAGTAAAATAGCATTAGATGTGGGTTTTATTGAATATATATATATTTTTTTTGGGGGGTTTCCCCCGTAGGTAAACATCATTTCTTTATTTGATATTGTATATAATATAGTATACATCGTGAAAGAAAC